CAATTGTTACTTGTATTTTATTTTATTGTGATTTCATTTCATGGTTTTTTTTTCTTAATATAATTGTTATTTTCAGCACTTTTGATTTTATCGATTCTTTCTGATATTTAAAGTCATTTTATATCATATTAGACAATGGAAGTCCAAACAAATGGGTCAAAGTATTCATAACAAATTCAGTTATGTATTTCTCAACGTATCTCTTCCGAAAAACCACATCAGAGTCGAATCGTGCAATTCCCTGTCTTGAGAAAGTGAAGACAAATATTCCTTGTATCTAGAACCTAATGACATACATCATTGTCTCCATTTTTTATGGAAAAATCGTGGGTAGATGGTGTTATCCATGTATTTTTTCAAGTTTTTGTTAAAGCAGGATATAATAAACATGAAATAACAAAAAGTTCAACTGTCTATTTTCATAATTATTCTGAAATAGTGACGACAGAGCCAACAAACAGTTTCCAGCAATTTTAGTTTGGTTATCAAACGGCTATTGCTATTCAGTTTGTATTCCAAACATTTGTTATGGAATCGAATGAGATATCATTCACAGGATTGCTACACAATATAGTATACATTATTTACCAATCCTGTGGATGATATGTCATTCAAACTCATAACGAATGTTTGGAGTATAAACTGAACAAGAAAAAGTTTTTTTTTGTGTAATTCAATGTTCATATGAAAGTAGTTGATAAAAAAGTATTTTTTCTTCTAATTCAATGTTTATATGAAAGTTGTTGAGGGTCTTTTTTTGTGCCGTTTGTATCTGAAATTTACTTCTTTTCATGATCTACACAACTGCATGAATATTTTATTTTGAAATTAATTGCTTTCTTCCTTAATATAGAAGATTCCCATATTATTTTGTATGAAAATGGAGAAGTAGTAGATTATATAAGTTTACTTATTGCAGGAGTTGTGGATTTGTTATTTCGAAATTCATATTGGGATTTTGTAAAAAATTTGTTTTGTTCAGAATGGAGAAATATTGGTTCTTCCGGTTTCAACCAATGTTCAGTTGAAAGAATTATATCCGGATATTCATATTCAGCTAACAATAATAATAGTTCATCACTCTTGTGTCTTAATGATTGAATGTTTAAGGACAATACCCTGATCCTCGTTTCCTTGCTGCGCCTAAAAAAGAAGGGTCCTCAGAAGTTCTTGCAGACCTCATTTCTTGTACTGTTAATATTGTGGAAAGACGAAACTGATATGATGCCACGTTTTCGTACGTGAATCCTACTTCTAGTATCTACGTATCTACTTTAATAAAAAATATCATTTATGTAGAGTGAAAATTGGAGTGGTCTTAATGTGCTACCCTGAGGTATTCCGTTATTAGTACTAATGTCAAGGGAAGTTAAGTTATTAAGCTTTATTACATGTTTTATCAAGTCAAGAAAGATTACCAATGCAAAACTTAAAAAACCCATTAGCTTGAATTGGAATAAAAAGAATCTAATATCTTGTTGAAATGATTGCATCCTTCAACAGCATAATATTATGCTATTTATTATTTTGAATGAAATTATTCTGAAGAGAAAACAGACTTCAAAGAACAATTGCTCTGATAATTAAAACTTCATTTACTAGAGTATATATATTACCGTATTGCATAAATCTTTCTAAATAGTTATTACATTTTTATGGTCGAGTTACCGCGTTTTTTGCTACATGAGAACTTTCATTAAACCAGAAACGCTTCAACCGTTGCAACACTTATATTTGTTTTCAGGCTCGAATTGCCTTTCTACAGGGCGAGAGAAAGGGACAGGAAAACCTCAAGAATGACCTTGTACGACGTATAAAGATGTTGGAGTACGCCCTCAAGCAGGAAAGGGCGAAATTCCACAAATTGAAGTACGGCACGGAGCTGCAGCAAGGCGATATGAAACCACCTGTGATAGATGAAACAGGCGAATCCCAATTGGAATCGGATCAGTCCTATGTCTCCGTAACGAATTCCACATGGAAGCAAGGTCGTCAATTGCTGCGGCAATATTTGCAAGAAATCGGCTATACCGATAGAATAATCGATGTTAGGTCAACAAGAGTTAGAGCTCTACTCGGTCTGAATAACAATAATGCCGATCAGGAGGAGAACCATAATAGTAGTTCGGTGAATGGTAATGAATCCAATAAAAGGGCTAGTGAAACTCAAGGTGAGTTTGTATATTTGTTGAAAACTTGTAGCATGTAAATTTTCGCTACTTTATTTTGTAAATCAATAAAAAAGTTTTAGAGCAACATAGATTTCACTTTGTGGTGACCTACCCTCAGCGAACGTGAAAATAACAACATAGATATGTTAAGTTGATTGTCTAACCTCATCCATTGCTAATCTCGAATATTNTTAGCATAATTAGTGGGTATAATTGTTTACCTGCACTCTAGTTTTGTGTAAGGTCAGTTGGTATATTGTAATGTTATCTGGACCTGTATCTTAATTGCGATTTTCAGTTATACATAACTCACATCTGTGTATACTAACACACAAATAGTGTATCGGTGTACACAGTGTATTAGTATATACATGGATTTTATCTCCAGTATACTAAGTTTGTATCTGTTGTATGCTATTTAATTGTACACAATTCATATTTTATGTAATTTCCATAAGCTTACCTTGGTTTATATCCTTGTTGACGTTCACAATCCATGTCTATGGAAGATGTGTTTAGTATATATACCTTATACATTTTACATTTCATTTTATGTATTTCTGACTTACCTAATCCATGTAATAGTGGCAATTAAGGAAAAAATAAATATCTATCGTATTTATCTAAAGCTATCATAGTATCGCTCCACTCATCAGTCCAGTCCTGGTTGGCCTGGGATTCCGTACTCAGTTTTCAAAGTGCTGTCGCCAGAGGAACAGGTTTACTTATATATTTTTAATACAGGATAAAATCCTACCATTTAAATTTTCAATTATTATTGTACATTCGATCTAGATACACTCGGGTTAAACTATATGTTTTTCAACGAATATATGTAAACCACCACATAGTACTATGCGCTGGGAAATTAATTTCCTAAAACATTTTCTACCTAATCAATTAACCTCTCAAAGTATCTAATTTTGAATATCATTATTAGAATTACAAGTCTTATTTCTGGGAACTTTTGCTCTGAACTTTTGAAGAGTTATTAATAATAAATGTTTGTGTGTTTTACTATGTTTTATTTATTTATTGATTAACACTCATCAATTTGATAACATCATATGGTAAAGTCTCTTATAGTTTTGGGTATAACAACTATTTAGTCATTACTCGGTTGCTCAACAATCCAAGTAAGAACTCTTTTTGACATAAACATTTTAAAAGTTGAAGTGGCGTCGGTGCCAACCGACGAAGAGCTGCCGTCTGCATTTGCTCCTTTTCAATAAATAGAAAAAGTGCTGCACTTGGAATACTTGAAATATCTGTTGCCACCGGATACGTTGATATTTTGTACAAAATTGTGAATAGTTCAATTCTGAATAAGGTTCAAAGATATTTTTCAGATTAATCATTAATTTTATTGATTTTAATTTTCTAGATACATATGAATTTTTCATTACACCCTTGTGCCACTAGGGAGGACTTCCATACAGCATATCCAAAATGTTTTTAGGAAACCAGTGAAACACGTTTTACTTGAACATTTTTTCAAACACTAAGTGAGTTTTGTTAATAGCACGCTGTCTGGTCAAAAAATGGAGTGAATTTTCATTTTTCTCAAAAATACTTATCCATTCATCAATTATTCTTTCCCCCTCTTCAAAGTAGTCCTTCTCAGATATAATACACTCGTGCCAGCTTTTTTTCCAATCTTTGCAGTTCTGATATGCACTTTTTGATGTCCTTGAGCTCTCTCAATGATTGGATTTTTATCTCCCGAATCGTCACAAAACGCCGTCCTTTCATGGATCTCAATCTGGGGAATAGGAAAAAGACGCACGGGGGCAAATCTGGTGATTATGGTGGCCGAGGCATGATTACGGCATTGTTTTTGGCAAAAAAATCACCAATAACTAATGATGAATGAGCAGGTGCATTATCGTGATGCAAAAAACATGAAATGTTTTTCCACAGTACCAGACGTTTTCTTCGTTTCTTGTTTCTCGCAAGCGGCGCATAACTTCAAGATAATACTCCTTATTGACATTACGACCATGTGGCACAAAATCCTGATGCAGTACGCCACAGTAATTGAAAACAATAGTGAGCAAAACCTTGACTTGCTATTTTGGTCTTGGCTTTCCTAGACTCTTCCATCTTGATGATTGGACTTTGGTTTCGATGTTATAACCATGATTTGTCACCAGTTCAAGCAAATCTGCAAAGGTTCTTTGGTCGAAATTTAGCAATTTTGGAATGAACTCCGCTGCCTTGTCCTCCAGCCGTCCTCATATATTTGAGAATACTTTACATCATAGTCATTTATGTGTCCCTCGTGAGATAATAGTGGCTAAAACTATTTGTATGAGAACCAGACAAAAAACAGATGACTAAAAGGATATATATTTTTTCATAAATACTTTTCCACAAAGCAATTGGAAGTACGAGTATATTGTATTCATAAAACAGTTCAATTCAGATACCATAAAATTACAATGCTATGTTGTAATATTCAGTATCTATTTATTTACAGACATACGATTTTACTGTAAACAGGGATAGTATAAAAAAAAGATGATTGAACAATAAATTGGAATCGTACTTGGATGATTGAGAAGAATAAAATTCGGGTTGGTAGTCTGCAGTCGAATGGAACCTGAAGAACCAATCGATTAATCTGCTATTGCGGCAGACAACATCAGTGATAAGTGGGTTGTCTGCGAGGACGAAGGTTATGTCTCAAAGTCTCAGCAACGTGTGTCAGTCAGTCATTGAGAGATCGATTTTTTTGAAAGTTTTGAGTATCCAGTAGTGTTACTGATATTTATATAACTTGGAGTTTATAATTCACTTTCAGAAAACTTTTACCTTTATCTACTTTCATGAATTGAAGGAATAACAAATTAATAAACTTTCCATTTCATGTTTCAAGGCAGGAGAACTCCAGCAAAAAAGGCACAACCAGGCTCTCTAGCAGAAGCAATGATGTTGGATACTGAAGCAGCAGTAATGGCGAATCTAGACTTCCTATCCAATACTGACGTCGATATGGACGACGATGAAGATATGAGCGATGATGTGGATATCGAACCCACAGAAGATATCGAAGACGATGTCAAACTTGGTAAAAAAGGTATGAAATATCCGTGAAATGAACAAACTCTTCACTCATAAAAGAAAGGGAAATGATTTGTGGAAGAGAATGTTCCTTAGCTCAGTTGTGGTTTTAAATGTTTATTCTTTGTTTCAGTTTTAGGCGATGACGTGGATGCCATTGCTTTAGAAGTTTTCAATGAACTAAATCAGTTGTCGGAGACGGAAAAGAAACAAGACATCAAAGGCGAACAAGCTGATTGGAATAAGGGTAATAAAGCAGTAAATACAAATAAAACAAACGAAGTGATAAATACATAAATAGTAAAAATACTCTTGCGTTATTATTTGATATTGAAATTTGGTTATTTGATTTTGTATTAAACGAAAAGTAATTTCAAAAACACATTTCTTTTGAAAAACCTTTTTTATGATATCTATCTGGATTTTGCGAATTATAAAGTATGAATATAAATTGGAAGGAGTACAATTTTAGGAGAGATTAATCAATTTTATTCAGAAACAAAGAAAAAAATGTGGGAATTTTCCAAATGAAAGAAGAAAGTAGTTGATTTCAAAATGAACTCTTCAAGCAAAGAAGTAACTTTCAGATACAAACTGGAAGAAAAAGACCATTCAAAACAACTTTTTTCCTGTAAACATTGAATTACATGATGGAAAAAATACTTTGGAAACAACTACTTTTATATGGAACTTGAATTATACCAAAAACACATCCCTATTTATGTTTACTTCATATATATAGCTTGTGCCAGTTACACCGACACTTGGAGACCACTCATTGCATCTCTTGAAATTATGACATTATCATCCATATTCATTCATCAACTTCTACAATAAACTCACAAAAATAAAAAAAACTATAAAATAAAGTCGGATTTCCAGTTATGTCACTAGACGCCGCCAATTAATCATACCAAGCAGAAAGATACTGCAAAAATCCAGTAAAAACTCTTGATGTGAACATCTACAATATAGTACCAACATTTGTAAAAAACATGGAACCTTCAAGACTTTAAACAATATTTGAAAGATTTCTTGACAACGCTGGCTTGCTATTCTACAAGAGAATATATGGCTGCCCTCACTGTAATAACTCATTGAACATGTATCCCTGTTTCTTGACAGGGATACATCCTAAAGTATGAATAGTTAGTTGAAAGGTATTTATTATAGTTCCATATTGGATTTCGACTGTTACACATTATTCCAAGCTTCACTTTGAGTCTAAAAGTTACCTTATCTTTCTATAATGTGTTCCCCTAATCTAGTGGAACACAGCAAGAACTTTCATATGAGTCAGTCTACTGAAAAGTTGCAGAAACTCTATTTTTCAAACCCATTTTCTGTTCAATTGAAAACACCTTTCCCCACATTTTCTGTTCAATTGAAAACACTTTCCCTCCACCAGAACAAAAGTGCTCAACATGTGTTTCTCTGACTAAGTTAGAATCATCAGGAGGTGACTTAGTGAATCGCGCACTGAGAGAGCAATTTTGTTCTGGTGAGGGAAAAGTTTTTTCGATAGATTCATTCCACACCCGAGGTTCCAAATTCTAATAATTAACATTTTCTGTTCATAAAAACTTTTCAATACAAACTTATCATGACAAATATACAGGCAGCCCTTTCTTACCATCTCCATTTGGATTTTGTAAACTATAAAAGATGAACAGATAAATGGGGAAACAGTTGCGTGTGTTACAAACCAGTTCAATCATATAAAAATTCAGAATATATTACGGAGTTCCAAGGTATTTTTTGTGTTCTCTGTTGGATCTTGACTGTGCAACATTCTTCGAAGCTTTGCTTTGAGTCTGGAAGTTTTCAGAAAACCTTGTTTTGAAAAAAACTATCCTTTCATGATGCTTTCCCTCGATCTGAAGCTTTTGTCGAGAAACTTCATATGGCTTAATTCACTAAAGACCTGTAAATGTGTCTCTAGGTGTAGTTGGCTACAACAGTATAATTACCCAACACTATGAATCCTGTGTGGTCATAACCACCAGTTCCATGCAGTGCAAGTAACAGCCTCTAGCAGGGCGACAAACTCACCAGATTAATTCTGCAAGACTACAGTGACATACACTTGAAGTAGGTTACAGATATCCAAATATCATTAAGCTGTTACATGTTTAGGACATTTGTGATATCATAATTGACACTAAATGATTTCAAACAACTGTTATTCAGAGCTAAAGACTTTTCGTTTGAAATTTCATTAAGTAACTTGATTTTTGCGATAGACTGATGTTGCAAATTAATTTTTCAATTCCGTCATAGCAGACATTATGAATTGGGAATATACATTTTTCAAAGGAGCCTTATAACTTTGTTTTTTTTTCAAAAACATCTCATTAAATAGTGTTAACCATAAAAGTACCATATCTCAAGTGTAACTCATCACATCTTAACAGTCTACTACCTCTTCATTTTAGAAACAGTCTGCCTAATGCATGAAAAGCACAAAGATAACATCTCAAACTCAACTCAAAGTTATGCCACTCGTCTCACATTCAATATTCCTCATCCTATCCCGTCAACAGCACAAATTAAAAACTCAATGCTTAATAATAGCAAAACATATTTCAATCATCTCCCCCTTTCAATCAGAAAGTTAACATGCTACAGTTTCGAAAAAGAGTGAAAAAAACTTATGGTAGATAAAGCTTATTATAGTATCTAGGAATTTCTTTCGGGTGACTTCGCAACTCATAATTGCAACTTATGAAAAATTTTAACACAGACTTTTACCATAGACTTTTGGAAGTGTGCTTGAGCCATATTATTATCTTGTTTTAATTCTTGACCTTCATTTTAATGTTTCTGATTGTTGTAGTTCTTGAGCCTGCTTTGTCAACAAAACCTAAACTTTTAAGGCTATGAAGCATTTCTGACTGACTCTATGACATGCGTAGTAGTTTATTTTGCCAGTTGATTCGTCGTGTCATCTTGTAACAATCTTTACATCATAACATTCTGATAATTTCTACAGAAATGAAAACTTCAATTTTTTGTCTATAAGGAATCCAAGGAATTTTTAATGTTTAGAAAGAATATCATGTGACTTGTTTTCTTTATACTGAGTTGGAGTTGTTTTTTTCTAACCATGAATGATAGCGATCTGAATCACTGTTCATCATTGTTTATTATTTTAGCATAGTGAATTTCACTAGTTCGGACTTCCATTTCTACTATATAAAATGATTTGAAATCCCTGAAACAAGTAAAAAAGAATAATTTCAGAGATTTCAAATCATTTTATATAGTAGACAATGGAAGTCCGAACTAGTGAAATTCATCATGAAACATTGTCAATCACCTTCAAACATTTTAGCATAGGTTCTCTTGTAAACGATAGCAATATCATTTGCAAACTTGAAATACTTGGCATCTAAGTAGCACATTCCAGCAAGAACTATTCCCTGCGGAACCTCAGAGTTTGTACCTATTTCGTTCCTAGCTCATTTACTACTGTGAACCATTTTCGGTCAAGGAGGTATGATTTTGTCATCGAGAAAAATTCCTTTTGTGTAATTTACTGAGTAGTATATCAAAGTGTAAGCAGAGAAAATGAAATGACTATTGCTGTTTTCAAGAACAATGGAAATAGTCTTGTTTCAAAACTTATATTTATTGATTCTGCTAGAAACATACACTTATCGCTAATCAAATGAATTTTCTAATATCTGGAAAGGGATATCACCAACACCAGCTGATTTTTTACTTGAAAAATATGTCTTGTTTGAGAATATCTGAATGTAATATGGGCTAATAAATGGAACCAATGGCTATTGGCACTAGGTCTGAAATTTCTAAAACGAAATCGTCATGAACTTTCAACAAATTCTACACTAAATTTTTTCGGAAATTTTAAAAATATGTCGCCTGTCTCAAAAGAAAATGTATTATGGAAAATCTATAAGGTGTTTAGTATTTTTTTATATCGTTCAATTTGAATCTTTGACATAAGCAACATTTTTCCCATGTAAATGAAATTCTATCTCTATAGTTCATGAATGTGCAATGTTTTGAAAATTTTCCCCACAAACTTGGTAACCTCATATCAAAAACATTAATTTCATTTTACTCAACCTTCAATTGGTGATTGAATTGAGTTAGTTTCACTAAACATCAACAATCTTTAGCTGCAGTTTGAAATTCTGTTTTTTCCTCTTTAGCACCAATCCCGAAGCGACCCATAGGAATGAATGATGAAGAAAATTTCGACTCGAGTCTCGGACTTGGCGAGTTAGCTCAATTAACAGTTAATAATGATGCTGAAAATACGTACGATATTGCTAGCAGTAAGGAGGCATTTAGGAAAACATGGAACGCCAAATATACGCTCCGCAGTCATTTCGACGGTGTGCGTGCTCTAGCTTTCCATCCAGTCGATCCCGTTTTGATAACGGCAAGCGAGGATCACACTTTGAAATTATGGAATCTACAGAAGACTGTTCCTGCTAAGAAAAGTGCGTCGTTGGATGTTGAGCCTCTCTATACGTTTAGATGTCATACAGGTTAGTTTATTTACTTATTGAGTCATCCTGAGAAAATTATGTTTTTTTTTGAGTTAGAAAATTTTGAACAAGGCTTTTGGTGAAGTTCATTTTTAATGAACGTGACATCTCAGATGTCACATATACATAGGAAAATGTAACGAAGAAATAATCACTGTTAATATGTTCTAGGACCAGTACTGTGTCTTGCTGTATCAGGAACAGGAGAACATTGCTATTCAGGTGGACTAGATGGTGCTGTGAATTGTTGGAATGTTCCCAATTCCAACATTGATCCATACGATCTGTATGAGCCCGATATCCTGAATGCTGCTCTTCACGGGCATTCAGATGCCGTCTGGGGATTGGCGGTCTTGAATTCCAAACAGCAACTTTTGTCCTGTTCCGCTGACGGAACTGTCAAGCTATGGACTCCACACAGTAAGGTAGGTGTTAGTTAGTAACCCTTTCATGAGAAACATTGAACTTATTGTTACGTTTTTCCCGTGGGTTCGACAATAATTGAACACACTGTACAATTACACTCGACTTTATTTCACTTCTACATTGCCAATATAACACAAAAGCTTTAACTAAATTTCAAACTGATACTCGAATGTCTATAACCTTGTTAGCTCACTTCGTACTGCAGTGTCAACTAGACTTGCTCCATCTGCCTGTTGGTAGTGTTTATATATCTCAATGGAAGTCTCTGGAAGGGACGTGACACCTAGATGGATCGAGAAGTGTAAGGCGAGTTGAGCGTGACATGTATAAAAACACTACAAAGAGAAAGAAAAAAAATGAATACATATATGAAGATTATGTGTCGAATTCATCTAATGTATAGTGAGCCTTTTTAACAAGAATCGCCTTCAAGTTTCTCCTAAAAGATAGTAGCTTGACACAGTCTGTTAAACTTTTAGGTAACTTGTACATTAAATAAATGATTGAATTGATTGATTGATGTAGCAAACAAGTGGTATAAATAAACCTAAAATGATGCTTATTGCTTTGAATTTTATAGACTACATAATCTTTCTAAAACTTAAATAAGCAATTTCATGATGGCCTCTATAAGGGCCATTATACAATATAACCTAAACTCTTTTGGTAATACCAGAATAAGCATTAATATCAGAATTCCATGGTTTGAATATCAGTAAATCTTCAATAAGTCTTAGTGATATATGAAGGCTTATTGTTGAAATACTTTTTGTATTCATCCATGAATACATTTATTATTATCATTATTATTCACCGGAGTAGTGTGCATTCCATTAATAAATTAATTATTTCAGCAACAACTCTTGTCAACGTACGTTTCGGAACAAGACGGTATTCCTTCCAGTGTTGACTTTGTGAGAGACGAACCAAACCGTATAGTAGCTTCATACTCTAGTTCACATTGCGTTATATTCGATACAGAAACCGGAAAGGCTGTGACTAGGTTAGAGTCTACGGCTCCAGACGGAGTGAACTCTAGCGCTAGGCAAATCAATAAGATTGTATGTCATCCAACATTAGCTGTGACAATCACAGCTCACGAAGATAGGCACATCAGATTCTGGGACAATCACACGGGAAAAATGGTACATTCTATGGTGGCGCATCTGGATGCCGTCACTAGTTTGGCTGTTGATCCTAACGGATTGTATCTTCTCTCAGGTATGTCAGTATTCAAAATAAAAATGCTATTAATTTATTTAACGGACAATTCTTATAGAAATTCTTTATTCGGGTATTCAAAGTTGTGTTCCGTTTGTTCGTTATACTAGGCCAAATTTTCTCTGTTGGTGGAAACATACTGAAAAGCGAAAAGCTCAAGAGCTCGAAAGAAATTTGAAAATTGGGATGAATATTTGATTTTTTCTGATATTAGAACTTGATGCTAACAAATTTGTAATGAGAATTGTATCAAAAAGGTGAAAAATGGTACTGTATAGAATATTAAATACTTTTGGAACTTTATGAACAATAAACAGAAAAATTATAGTTCGCCTTATGCCAGATATTTGTTTTATTAAAATAGTAATGAAATTGCAAATGCATTTGCCCAGCAGTTACTATCAGTTTATGAATCATCAAATGCCAACTTTTATTTATGGAAAAACCACAGAAATGAACAGTTTTTCAAGTAATTTGAAAATTATTTTAAAAAGATTATTGACCATTTTAATATTTTTGTTAGCTAAATCAAAAACTAAATCAATCATTCACAAATTTTAATGTTTGCAGATCTCTAAATATTTAGGATTATTGAATCTAGATAGGATTGCGAGGAACCTCGAAATGATATTACATCTTTCATGGACCTGTGTACTGACAACTGGGTGAATGTCAATATTATTAAATGCAATATTATGATTTTCTCTCGACCACTCAACACTGATCAAAATAATAAAAGTGAATCTACAAAGACCATTAGTGATCTAGGTATTGTGGCATATGCTAAAATGGATACATTCAGAATAAATTGCTGAATTAAATATATTCCAGAAAATGGACAATTCTTATTATAGTTTGTATTACCTCTTATACCTATTCTTTGAATGTTAATCTGCGATTAGTTATAACTCCAAACTCCAAGATATTTCGCCACACTAACTGTTTCAATTTCTACATTATCAATATGGATACTCATCTGTCTGCTTTCAAATTTATGATTTCCTGCTTTATTACTGAAGAACATGAATTTTGATTTATTTAGTCTTGAAACAGTATGACATTATCACTACTCATCATATCTATCAAATGTGCACAGTAATATACAAGTGTGTCAACAGCAAAGACACAAATTTCACATGTATCTACTTTAATAAAAATATCATTTATGTAGAGTAAAAATTGGAGTGGTCTTAATGTGCTACCCTGAGGTATTCCGTTATTAGTACTAATGTCAAGGGAAGTTAAGTGATTAAGCTTTGTTACATGTTTTCTACTGTTCAGGTAGTCTTCAAACCATTTACAGACTGTACCTGGTTTGCTGTAGCTTCTCGATTTAAGCAGGAGTCAGTCTGTCTTTTCATACTGTCTCAAAGGTTTGTTTCAAATCCAAATAAACTGTTCCTATATTCATACTTTGATCTGTTCACATTTTCCAGACAAATGAGACACTTTGAAACACTGTTTCATATTATGTTCAGTTTTGAAACCTGATTTATTTTCTGTTTCACTTATTCATTTTATACTTTAATTATTCATACATGACCTTTACTTTTAGGATCACATGATTGTTCGATTAGGTTGTGGCATTTAGACAACAAGACTTGTGTTCAAGAAATCACCGCACATCGTAAAAAGTTTGACGAGAGCATCTTAGATGTGGCTTTCCATCCATCAAGACCGTATATAGCAAGTGCTGGGGCCGACGGTCTAGCTAAAGTTTTTGTGTAAAACTTTTTAAGTTGAATTCACGAACCTTCTGATAACTACGAACCATTTTGAAAGTGATTCATTTATTATCTCATTTGCTTTTATAATTATTACATTTAGCAGGTTAGGTGTACATATATTATAGAATTTTAATATTTTGTATATATAATCCCAAAATCACTTTAATCTTAATTTTAATTGATTGATATTCTTTTGTAAATAAGTTTATTTATTTCGTCACTTGGTTTACGGATTTTTTTGTGTTTTACAATCAACTTGCTTGCTGTTTGGTCCATTTCAAAACCCGAGTATCGCCTATAAAAAATGTATATGGAATATTGTTTTCGAAATATTGTTTACTCCAAGGATTACTTTTGAGTTATTTGAGTGAATCACACATGTGATTTTTCATTATTTTTTACTGCGGCGTTTCCCGACTAACAAATTTTAAAAAATTGTTGAAGATATTCAAGATATTTTAACCTTTTTTTGTGTTATTGGATTTCGAACATGTTTTTGGACAATATTAACAATGCCAGTACTTTGCACTAATATATGTTTTGTTATTGTGCTTTTCCGAAATAGTTGGCTTTGGAGAAATGCATATATAACATCAATATGGATTATTTTGGCTTTGTACTCCGCTTGGTTTTCGATAATTCTAGGCTTGATAATTATTGAAAATCGAGTTGTACAGAAATGATTTTAGTTAATTAAATTAATCAATCCTGAATAGTTTAGGTGAGCCCTTCACATATTTTGCAATTTTTCTCTAAAACTGACTGTTACACTGGGAAAACAGTTTTTATCGTAAGTAATTATCTCCTCCTTGTTCTTTTAGGGGTCAACAAAAATTTGTAAACAGGTAAATTCACAACAGCTAGAACCGTTATTGATTATTTCATACACATTATCCACCATTTTAAGAAAATTTGGTACTGATTTTATCTCAACACATATCTTATTTAACATTTCCATCACTTTCAAATAGAATAATTTAAAAGCAATCATATGTTATTTGGTTTAATTTATCTTGTCACAATTCAAAAATTATATCCCAAATGGTTTGATAACAGCAAATCGAACTGTAGAGTGTTAATCAAGTAGACACAGGAAGTAGTAAACGGGTCCAAATCAACCCGAGATTGTAGCGTTTCCAATTATTTCCATGAGTTGAACATTTCCCATGTTCTAAATCTCCTCGTTTGACATTGCCACTAAATATTTTTCGAACCAATCTCTTGTTTTCATTTGGACAAATTATGTTTGTGAAGCTTTTACTTGATCAACACTAACCTTGTTCAGATTGCCTTCTTGAATCACTTGCTATTTTGTTTTTCAAATTGTGACATGACAACATTATTGTAGGAATCAGAAAATAATCCGTTTGATGAAACAAAGCGTTGATAATATTTTTCGAATATTAGTTGGACGGTACTTGATGTGGGGCATGCTGTATATGATCTTTTTATATTCTGGGTTTTGCAAATGAGAACATGATCAGCACTGGAACAAGTTATGCTTAAGTGAAACATGTAAATAAAATTACAAACATAGCTGCAAAGGGCGTCCTACCAACTACATTTATATCACTCTGTCATTATTTATTATGTACATTTGTCCTACCAAGTAGGTTTTAAGACCTTTAATATAAGAATTTGATGTATAAAAGCTATTGTTTATCGAATAATACTTGTAATTATCTCAAAAAATACAGCAGGTTACTGGACCGTTAGTCATAGAATAAAATAGTGTACTAAAATAAGGAAATTAATTCGAACAAGCTAACATCACGATCTTTCTTCTGGATTTTTTAGATTTTCATTAACAGTTGTGATGGAAATCTTGTCAACATGAACAAATAAACTGAAATCTCTATATGTGCTTTGAAAAAACCCTTTTTGCAATCCATTGGCTTCCAATTGTGTTGCCAAGTTGCCATCACCAAATGATTCACGAGTAATTTAATTATTCTGATTGATTCGGCCGTTACTTAATGAAGATCCATAGTAATTTCAAAAACTACACCTCACGATTTTATCTCCACAAACTTTATTTGAAAAATATCACAACATGTTTCGCTGGCACAGTAGCTTTCTCAAATGATTTGAATCTACTTTAGAAAGCTACTGTGCTAGCGAAACGTGATATTTTTCAAATAAAGTTTATGGAGATCAAATCGTGAGGTGTAGTTTTGTAATTTTAATATGTTGATACTGAAGTAAAAACGACCAAAATTCACTCAGTATAAATAACAAAAACCAACACATGAATGGAAATCTTTTGCTTGAGATATTCAGATATTTTACAGTTGAATGGATCTTGTGAAGTTCTTTATTTAAACATAAAAGTCTGGAGAACACGAAAATTAGTATTTTTTGTTTGAAGGACTAACATATGGTTTTTATTATACAATCTGCCTCGAAAGACCAAAAATTCTTTAATGTCTATAACTGGACAAAATGGACAAAACAATCACTTGCACTGCTGGCTACCAAATTAATTGGAAGAGATATCATAACTGATGATTCTCAACCATTCATCTCATTAAAACAAAATTGCCATTCTGAAAGTTCTACAAATATAATCAAAAAACACGTGAATGTGTTTGAAAAGAAAGAAGGGAAAATTAAAATTGTGGTTACATCGAATTGAAGGCATCAATGAAAATAAATGAAAAAGGGTTCAGCATCTGAAGAGTATACTTTATAGAAAACAGGACAATCCTTCTCATTTTTTGAAAAATGTTATTTTGCATAAATTTCGACTTCAAACCTTGAATTTTGATATTAAACTCAAGAGTTGTGACATACATCTGACAATTCTGACGTGAAACTCGGAATTCTGACCTTGAACTCGGAATTCTGACCTTGAACTCGAAATTCTGACCTTAATCGGAATTCCAATGGCAAGCATAAACTCTGAATTCAAAGTTGGAATTCTGACCTTAAACTCTGAATTGTGATCTCAAACTCGAAATTTTGACTTTAAACTTGGATGGTCGATCGTAAACACGGGATTCGTTCATTTTATTGAAAAAGTTATTATAATTATTGTAAATTCAAAAAAATGCCATTCTCTCCGGATTCTGACCTTGAACCTGAAACTAAAGCAAACTAGGAATTCTGACATCAAACTTCAACTGATCGAATAATGACCTCGAACTCTGACCTTAAACTCTGAATTTCGACCTTGAACTGTGAATTCTGACCTCGAACTTTGAATTCTGACCTCGAACTCTGAATTCTGACCTCGAACTCTGAATTCTAACCTCGTACTCTGAATTCTGACCTCGAACTCTGACCTTAAACTTGGATTGGCGATCCTAAACACGAAAATCAGACTTTCACTTGATATTGCTATTAAAATTATTGTGAATTCAAGAGTATGCCATTCTCTGGAGATTCTGAATTTGAACTCGCGAGTTCTTACCTTTAACCTGATGTTATGGTCATAATCTTGGAATTTCGACATTAAACAGGAAATAGTTATGGTAAAGGTAAACTTGGAATTCATACCTTGAATTAATAAAATTATTATAAATTCGGAATTTTGCCATCTCTTGGAATTCCAACTTTGAATTCTGATTCTGTTCAAACTCAAAATTGTGAATGTAAACTGTGCCCTCATACTGACATTGAACTAAATGAAGAAAAAAGAAAATAGTGCTCTGAATAATTGTAAATTTTATTTTAATTAATTGGGGGTAAGGTAAATTGGGTTTAACACTTTAGTCTCCATCTGGTTGAAATCATTTTATGTTGATGAAAATTTGATTTGTAAAATGTGAGAGAGTTTTATGTTTTGTTTGATTCAAAGACTTCTAATCTGCTTCCAAAGTGAATATGCCAGAAGTAGTTATCATAATTTTAAGTTGACATATTCCATAGAACATACATATAAATGAGTAAAATACCATTAAAATTTGGAATGTCAACTTTCGTTTTTCATGCCTTCATAACAATTTAAAGTAGACAAAATAAATTATTGGTTTGTTTCGATTGAATGTATTGAATATTGTCTGGAATATACATAGAAAAACAAATGTATGAACTTTCCAACAAAGCAATCAAAAGTAATTGAGTCATTAGTTATAGACACTATTTATAGTGACTATTTGATACCATAGAAAATGGTGTTTTCTATTTTTCTTACCAATATTAATTTTAATGAAGAAGATTCAATTGTATTTTGAACTATAACTATTGAAACTGTATGTCAACGTTTGAACTGGGGAGTTGAAACCTCTTTTGACTTTCCGTTATTTTAATTTTCCAGTTTCTACCACTCGTACCTCAAATACACAATAGGCAATAACCTAATATTTGGGTGTATAGATAAAAATGAAACAGCATAATTTTTTGGCTATAATTCATAAAATATTCTTTGTTTTTTTTTTCGAAAATATTGACAAGTTTTACTCAAAAAAAACATCTTTTACCATATACTGAAATGTTCCATTGGGGCATTTGTTATAGTTTTTTCCATATTGTCCATAAATTGTCCACTATTTACTCTCAAAAATGTTCTTTGAATCGTCACAACTGTTGCTTCATACAACATCTATATAGTTTTTGTGATATATGTGACATTGTAATTTAAAAGTATATTTTATATTTTTTTAAATGCTGGTAGATTAAAGTTGATAGTAAGCCTGTAGGTAACGTTTTCACTTGAATTCAAACTTTGATGTAAGTCAGGCCATGGGAAGAAATGGAGTTCTGATAGTTTGAGGAAAATGGGTTTATTTATTGAATACAATATCTTGTTAAGAAGGAGAATATTGTTTATAAATTGCCGCGTCTATTCACCACTAATTGTAAAAGTTTAATTTTGCTTTTTCAAAACCTCCATCTACAAATCCTGAAATTTCATCCTGAAGAATTATGTAGTATGCGGTTATGAATAATTTGTTTGACATTTTTTGTGATGTGTATTTCCTAGTTTAGCCTAGTTGNGAATAAGAGAACTGACATTGATAATCTCAGCAGTATATACAGTAACTTATTGGAACTACACCAAAAAACATGATAATAATGAAAATTGTATCAATCAACTCTCCCTTTAGAGTCAAAGATTATCAAATCATCATGCCCATTGAAAATGACATTTATGTGAAGGTATGACATTTGTCAAACCAAAAAATCCATGAATATTCAACTTTCTTTCGTCGATTTATATGTTCAATTGATTGTTTTTTACTGTAAGTATGGTATGTAATGTTCATTGGCAAAAAAATC